GAGGTAAACTAAAATCGTACTCACTTCGGTGGTACATATAATAAAATTGGAACGATACAGAGAAGATTAGCATGGCCCCTGCGCAAGGATGACACGCAAAATCGTGAAGCGTTCCATATTTTTTCTTATCTAATGATTATATTTTTGTTTTAGTAGATAAACTACTTAGTGCATATGGTGTTGTTTTTGAAAAATCAAGTGACACTTCGTCATATGAATTACGTAATAATGAAAAAAAAGATAATCTCAGCTTTCTCAACATAATATTTAACCTGTGTTCCGACCAATATCCGAATCGTCAAAATATTACCACATCTACGGAAACAGCGATCCTGGGACTCTCTATCTGTGGAAAAAAGTCGACCTATTTCTATGTTAGTTTCAGAAATCCAACTAGTAGAAAAACGGTGAATTGGTTTGGGAAACCGATTACTGGTGACATCTACCAGGTTAACGCTCTTTCCCAGCATTAAGAGTAGAACCTAATGAACCTTTTCACGTATATTCTCCTGGAAAAATAAGTTTTTCTCGGTATTTTGAGGATATTGTTACTAAAAGAACGTATTTCTTTTAAAGTAACAACATATTCTGAAAGCTCCATGAAATTTTACATCATCCTGTATATTTTCATTTTTGTTTCGACCGCTGTGTAAAAAAATTATTCCAATGAAGTGAACACATCCTCAGTACCTCATTTTCACACACTTAATACAATCATTGTTATCTTGTATAGTTTTTCAAGATTTTGTCAGTATGACAAATAGGTTTTGAAAAAAGTAATCACATATTCTGATAGAGCTTGAAATTCTCTATCAATTTGAGAATTAATATCATTAAGTTCACGTAATCTCATTGCTTGTACAGGTGCTGCATGTTTTGACTTTAGAACAGATACATTTTCTTTTTCATTGAGTACATTTGGTTCATCGATATCCGCAATGTTCAGTTCATTTAATGTTGAAGAGGTAGACGACGAAATCAGGATCTTTTTTAATTTGATTCCATTCAACATTTAAATCTTTAAAAGCAAGCTAAAAACATATGAATAAGCAAAGTTCATCACCATACTAACATTTTAATAGATGCACCCACATTTCGATTCTTCTTTTCATGTGCACCTAAATAAGCATGTTTGAATTTCTCATAATTATTAGTGTGGTTCCGCATTTTGAAGAAAATGAATTGATCTAAAAGGGTATTCCTTTAGCAGGTGCTCCTCCCAAAGCGTGGTGACATTAAAACTGGTGTTCCCCATACGTATTTAGTGTTCCCCTTTGTTGAAAAAATTCGGTAAGGTTATGTTTATAGTCTTTTAATGTCAAAATGAAAGAACAAACAATAAGTAAATTAAAAGAAGTACAGAAAAATTGTTCTTAACATTTTTAATGCTCTTAATGTAAAAGTTTATGAAAAAGGGTTACAACTAAATCAAAAGAAGCAGCAGGTCTTATTTTGATAAGTCTAAATGATCAAACGCGGATTCTTGAACAAAAATAAGTTGGAGTTATATTTATGACAGATTATATATATGCGTATCTCACCCTGGTTAAAAAGCACTACTTCTAAATGACTACTACTGTTCCAATGCCAACTAGTTTTCGTGAATTCTATTCTATTATAAATGATAACAAGAAGGTTCCTATGTCTGTGCGTGAACAAAAACTTGTATTAGAAGGTGAAGATCATCAACGTCCGAAATGTGGATCGGAAATGAGAGACGGTAAACGTCAAAAGACTTTAAAGGATGGTAAGTGATTCACTTCATTTGTAGCTACTATTATCTATGCTGACTTAATCGTATTTCTAGGTACAGTGTCAACATATGAAATAATGCGATGTACAAATAAGCAATGTGCAAATCAGTTAAGTAAAAGAAAAAATACCTTTTTTGCTTTTACCGATTCCTTGGGCAGAGCCAACTCAAAACTTAGTGATGCGTCTATTTTAGAAATTATATGGTTATGGTGTTTTAATATAACATTGAAGACAATATCATGGACCATCGGATGTTCAGAAGCAACTACCGTTGACTGGTGCAACTTTTTAAGAGACGTAAGTCCACATTGTCGGGTCTATGCTATATCGGGTAATAACGATTGTTCATTCTTTAAGATTTGCACAGAAAAAATGAACGTGGGTGAACAAATGGGTGGTATTGGTGAAGTGGTGCAGATTGATGAATCACTGTTTCGGGGTAAACGTAAGTATAATCGTGGAAAGTTACTACTCGGTAATGTTAATAAGTAGGAGGACAACAACAACACTAACATGAGCGGATAAGTCAGCATAATAAAACATTTCCATTTAACTTCGTATATAAACTGTAGATTGTGTATGCTGTATATATCGATTTTATTTTGTTTCTTCAACTGTTAATGATCTTCTTTGTCATGTTGCATATGGTGTTAATGAATTTACAAAGAGAATGTTTTGACTCTTTTATAAAATATTGGACTTCAATCAGGCATACTGTATAGAAGACTACCGTATATTACAGGTGTTCGATGGGCATCAGAAAGCTGTGAGAACGGTCATCGGTTCTGATACACTACAGGCATATTTTGCAGAAACATGCGCTGGAAGGGGTCTTCCTCTCCTCCCTGTCCCAAGTGCCAGTTTTACTCACTTATCTATCCGTCTATGTCCTTTACTGAATACTCCTGAGTGTGAGATAGATTTGTCGAGAAGCTCAAGGCTCGCTCTATTAAACTTCTGTTAGTTGATTAGAAGGACTTTTTGACGTGCTAACGACTGAAACTGCACATATTCTAATGAATTTCGAAGCTTTAACAAAACCGTCAAATAAAAAGCGTGAAAATGCTTTCACGGTTTTCCTCTTCACGCTTTTGTTTTCATTGTTTTTCTTTGACAAACTGTCAGTTCATGGTTTTATTTCTACAGCTTTAACCTTTACGATATTTTTTCATGGTTTTAATTGTACAGTTCTTAAACTGACGATTTTATTTTACGGTTTTTCTTCTACGGTTCGAAAGTGGACGGTTTTGTTTCTATGGTTTTAACCTTTACGATTTTACTTCCATAGTTTTTCTTTTATACTTTTGCATTTTACGGTTTTCATAATGTAGATTTTTACTTCATGGTTCTTCTACACGGTTTTCTTTCGATGGTTATGGGTTTTACGGTTTTTTTTTCACCGTGTAGGTAAAACTTCTCTCAATCTATGCTTAACGTTATGAATGGCGGGATGGTACTTCCATTTAGTTTTGTCTTTGATCTCAAAACAAAAGTGCTAAGTTTGTGAGGTTACTTTTCAATAATTCACCCCAAGCCGGGCTAAATGACTTTAAAATTTTAAGCTAAACTGTGTTTTATCTGTTCATGATTTTGCGGTTAACATGAGTAAAAAGCACTTTCTTATTTTATCTAGAAAAAACTGCTTCGAAAAGCAAAGTATTTTCTATACACCAATATTTTCCTCTAGTTTTTATCTCAAGTTTTTTTTTCAGTTTGTTTTCTCATGAACGGGACGTTCATCTTACAGAATGGGAGGTGTTATGTGAGGAGATTCCCTTTCTTAAGTAACAAAATCAGATTTCTTTATATCAGATGCTACACTGCACCATCTCGTTTCATCATGCATTGCGTCATCATCTTCTACCGGTTCTCCAGTACTATAAATAGACTTATGTTCTAGCCAAGAGTCAGATTGTAAGATTTATACTTTTTCTGTGTTTCTTTATCTCATTATTTTCTAAAGAAACCATTTTCATTTAGAACCATATCAAATTCGGTGATACAAATCAAGCAATATCTGACGGCAAAGAACGCATCAGAAAACAAATGTGCACTATATGTAAGTACATGTGCTTTGGGTTTAACGAGAATTTTCCAACTAATTCTGATGAAATTACCAGTGACAATTATAATTGTGACTGTATATGGGCTCCCACACTATTCAATCATCAGTCATATTTTGCTATGCCTCACGTGTGACGAAATCAATTCTTTGATCAATGATCCCGCTACCTTTGCACCAATAGGTTAGCTTGTACCAGATTACAGACATATTTGAAAGAGTTTTGTTTTAGGCTCATCGATAATTGTTGGTTTCAAATCAGTTTCGTCCAAAATACTTAGGTTAATATTAATTAGAGCCTTGCTCGCTCCTCATCCCATTTCATATACTGAGCAAAAACTATTCACATACCAAATGGTTAAACTATGTACGTACGTATTCCAGTCATGTTTTCAGTGAGAAATTTCATCAGTCCTGAAATGCCAACATGCCTTATAATTGGTTTCATTTTTAATGCTCCCGTCAGAAGATGGTGGTGGGACCTAGCCCGCTTTGAGGTGATCTCATGGGAGTTCAGAGTTTTCCCACTATTGATCAGCTCATCATTTCAAGTTTGGGTAAATTGACTCTGCGCGTGATTACACTATATATGAATAGTTAGGTCGTTATGCGCTACTCTTCTCGATTACCACGGATATCGGAAATGCCGTCACTGTAATCGTATTAGTTTTTGTAATATGTAGCCGTATGGATTCCTTTGCATCTTTGTGAAGAACGCAAGATCATTGCTTGTTAGACAAGGTTAACTATAATGAGTCTTTTATCTTTTAAAAATTGAACTGAATTGAATTATTCGCAGTCTATGCGGCGCATATTTACAAACACTACACTCTAAAAAAAAGTGCGACTTAGGATCAAATTAAGTCGGATTAATATGCCTTATTCTGTGAGAGAAACACGGGGAATTAGGTCACTGCCGTAATATTCATCGAATCACTTCTGTTACTCTGTGAAGATGAGATATTACAACTGTAGCCAATTTCTCGAATCTTTTGTTTGTTGGCTTGAGATCGGATCAATTAGTGGATTCTAGTGATTGATTAATCATCTTTTGAAGATAACTACCATTTGAGATTATTGCTCCTAGTTTCTCCAGATTTCTCTTATTCGTTACATTGTTATTTACAATATTATCTCTTTCTATCATATTTTTATTGCTATTACGCTCAATTATATAAATACAACATTTGATAAATACAATGATCTAACGTAAAATAAAAAGCCAAGATTTGATATTTTAAATATATGACGACAGGAAATTGAATATTGTACATGTAAGAAAAAACACAAGATATATAACTGCTAATGTATAAAATGATGCTAATTAGCGGTGCACCATAGAATAAATAAAAGAAAAAGAAAATATAAACTCCTACTGGAGAACTTTGTAGGGGGAAACAGCAGATTTTGTGACTTTTGTAATCTGGGCGCCGTTCCACAGGCAATCAATTTTTTTCAAATTTTGCTGTACTCCTGGAGACTACCTGGTATTCTTCATGACTTCGCCAAACCTGAAGAATTTTCCTGACTATTTTTGACTTTTCCCGCGTTTTTTCCGCTTAGCCCCATTTTCAGTCATTTTTACAGATTCTCGAGATTTCATCGGATTCTAATCACTTTTTCCGATTTTTTTCTTGTACTCCCAGGGATTCCTCCAGTTTCTCGAACTTTGGGAAGTTTATATAGGATTCTCCAGGCTTCTGTAGATCTGGGAGTCCACAGCTGCTTGGAATTCTGGTGTTTCCCCCTTGACAACTTCTCTCTCTGGCCCTTTGACTTTGTAATTCGATTCTTCTAGGTTCCTAGGGCGATTTGCAACAGATTCAACTTTGGAATTAAATTAAAATCGCCGATTAAAACTTTGGCGGTTTTTATTTGTAGAGAGGAGGGCGGGAACGCTGGTTGAAAAATTATTTTTGGAAATTTAAGGACGATTTTCTGAAATTCTTTTATTTTTGTTTGTTCGTAAATAAAAGTTAAACTTTGTAGAAACTCAATCATTCGCTTTGGTTTATGTGTTAATAACACTAAAGGATTTTACAAAGTATTGTTTCTGAGATCAAAGTTATTGAGAAATATTTAATTTTTTTACATAATACACATGTATATACACGACTTTAGAGAGTAACTTTCTACTGGAGAAAATTATAAAGTTCAATATTTGTTGTTGGTTTAATGAGTAGCTCAAGAATGAATGATTACAGAGAGACAGCGATATAATTTCGTCTTTGTTCCATATAATGATTACACAGCAATGAAATTAAACGTAAAAGAAACTTGAATAAACCCTGATATCACTCCAAACTATTGACTGTAAAATATCATAATAAATCACCGTTTCCCACACGCATAGCCGGCGTATTAATTCCTCGTCTCATTCTGCTCATCATACATTCATTTTTAAATTCATCCATATTCACATAACATCCTTCTAAATATCGTTCACCTACATTTTCATTACATTTTAATTGAAATTTTTCCCTTCCATGCACCATTCTACGATTATTGAATATAATACAATCACCACTTTCCAATGTATGTTTATAGCGTGATGGATGTGTTTCTAAAAATCTTGATAATC